TGAAGTATGAACCGTGTTGTACGTGATCGAACCTCCTTAATAGATGGCATCGTGTACTTCTTTAGCAACAACAAGATGGTTCTGTTTGTCCTGACGGCTGAAACTTCGTGTTCTTGCCGGTGCGGCACGTGCTGCAATATATAGTTCACCATCTGGCTTTTCGCTACACTCATCCTGTTTTTGGGCACTACTATAGCGATACTTTCCAGCGAATAAATAATTTTTTTTTTTCACAAATCAGCATCAACAGCAGCATTAGCTAAATTTCAACGAAACGAAAAGGGCCAGCCTATAAATAGGGAAGTTCAACAATAATTTGATGGGCACTGCTAGTGCCTGGATGTCCACACCTGCAGTCGCTTCCACGCCATTTCACGCGCCCCATGTGGGGCCCATGCGCCAGAGGCACCTACTCAGCCGCAACTTACCACTTTTGTAGGGGCGTGGTCTGCCCGCTGCCACTAACCACTGTGGAGTCGAGAAACACCGCTAGAAATCTGATCCATACCAACCAAATGGAGATCCACTATACTCGCTCGATTTACTTTTGAAACATATAGATACAACACTTGCAACATACAAAAGAAAACAGATAAAACACTTGAAAATCATTGCAAACATACGTAACATCCAGATAAAAACACTTACAACATATGTGTGAAAATATGCAACATCCAGATAAACACACCTGCAACTTACGTCCAAAAAACACAAATGAAACATTGGTAACAAGCATTTGCAATATAAATGTACAACCATTGCAACATATACAACATCCGATCTATTTTTGCAATGTACCTATGAAACATTTGAAACATACGCTTGCAACGTGCGTTTTCAGCAAAACCTGGCAAGCGGGTGGGAGGGGCACTGCACAGCGAGATCTGGCTGTGTAGTCACGATGGAGAAGGAGGATGGCAGCGGTCGAACGGTTGCGCGGCTCTCGGTGAGCGGCTACGCTGCCCCCGGAGATAGGGCATGTGTGGTGCCCCAGAGAGCGGTGCCCACGGTGGAGGCGACAATAGCAATCGGGTGGGTGCAGCCTCGCTTGGCGAGGTGACATCGGTTGTGCGAACGTGGGGGAGCACGCTGCAGCAGGGCGGGCACGCGGCGGTGGGGATGAAGGCCGGCGGGAGGTGCGGTGGAGAGGAAGGCATGCGGGAGGCACGCCGAAACGCCGTCGTGGAGTGCAGTGGCGGCCTCGCACGATGAAGCACGTGATGGGCAAACGGAGTGGGAAGATATTTTCACGAGAGACGAGGAGCATCTACCGTAATTTGATTCCGGTTCTGCGCAATTACGGAATTTTGTCAGCGCTTATATAAACACAACTGGATGGGATACACAGGTTGAAGACCTGACGGGCCAACAAAGTACCATGGTCTAGAAATTATGCCTACGATGACCGAGGCAGAACATGCGCGGGCACTGGAGCCCACAGGGGCGACCGGACCCTCCCGGGCCGGCCACCGGCCTGCCGAGTGCTGAGGCGGCGAGACCGACGTTCCACCTGAATCCCAGGACAAGCTTCAGTGGTTCACCGCGACGTCGGCGACCGTCGCGCGGACTCTGCAAAGCCCCGCGGAAGCTTTTCTTCTTTCCTATCCGGCGCCGGCGGGGTATCATCCATTGACCATTGGTGGTGTCGTGGTTGTGGTGCGATGGAATTATGGCATGCTGGTAAAAAAAAGGAAAAAAGAAAACAATTACAAGGAGTTGAAAATGATCTGGGAAAAAATCTTCCCAGCTTTCACACTGTTCTTTGAGGATGTTTTCAGACTGTTCGGCTGATGCTGATACGATCGTATACGATCGTGGATTAATATTGCTGGCTGATTTGGTGTGAGAAAAAATATTCTTTTAGCTTATAATCCACAGTCGTTAACGACCAAGCGAACATGCTTGCTTTTGTTGTCCCTGACAACTTCAATTTAGGTGTGTGTAGCTGGCTTAATGGCTTATACGAACTGGTTTCTGGAGTTTCCAAGCTGGCGATGTTCCTTTCCCCATCAGGGAAGCAGCGAGCATCTTCATGAGACGAAACATGGAAAACCTGGGCCTTATTTAGATGCCATTCAAATTTAAATTTTTTCATTCTCTCTCTCATCACATCAATTTTTAGCCGCTTGCATGGAGTATTAAATGTAGATAAAAAAATAACTAATTACACAGTTTAGTTGGAAATCACGAGATAAATCTTTTGAGCCTAGTTGGTCCACGATTGGACAATATTTATCAAATAAGATGAAAATGACACTATTCATCGGGTTCACTTTTTTTGCAATCTAGACAAGGCGCTGGTTACAGTTTTGAAGTATGGCAAAATTTCTGAATCGATATTAAGTTATTAACTTGTCAGACTGGCACTGCAGAATTGAGGTAGCCACCATTTTGTCAAGTATTTTACTTGTTAACAAGATATGGATCATTACTGCAGATTTAACAAATCGATTTTAGGTTTGTATATTAAAAAACGTGTTCTAGGTTTACATTTGAACATATCCTTCCACACAGGGACAATGTTTATCTTACCGCAAGTTTTTTGCTTCACTCGCTTGAACTGATAAAGATGAAAACTGGCAGCAGCTTTGGTGTTCTCTTCTCTCATCCGGCTATTAATTTTGGGGCTATTGCGTTCTTGCCCCTATTTTGATCTTTAATTGTAATTTTACCCTATTTTGTTTCACTTTGTGTTTTTACTCCTGCTTTTTTAAAACGAATGCTCCGTTTACCCCTACTCCGTGAACAGCAGGTAACGGTGTTAAAAAAAGTTGACAGATGATAAGTTTGTCATTCCGAATATTACGTTTTTGCCCATATTTTAAACCTCAATTGTGATTTTACCCCTACTTTCTTCCACTTTGTGTTTTTACCCCTACTTTTCCAAAACGAAGGCTCCGTTTACCCTAATTCTTAACTTAGTTATCTACATCCGAATCAAAGCAATTAAAAATTAACAAAAGCCACAGAAAAGACAAACTTACCCTTTCTCTCTCTGCGTCTCTCTCTCGGGTCGTCCCTCTCAACGCCAGCAGCGAGCGGTAGTGAGCCGGGTGGCGTGGCGGCGGTGGCGACGGAAGGGCGGCGTCGGGCCGTCGAGCGGGCGTGTACGACTAGGCGGAGGAAGCGGCGCGGGCACGCGCGGCTTATCTGACGTGGACGCACGTGGCGAGAGCACGCGCTCGGCTTAAGCGCGCTGGCAACGGCTTGGCGGCGTCACGGGCGCGCGTCTCTCGTGAAAGCAGCCGACCATGGGTGCCACCAAGCAGCTTTCATGAGACGCGCACGCCATGATGCCGGCCAAGCCAGCCAGCCGCCAAGCAAAGCAGCGTCTGGTCACGCATACCAAGACTAAGCAAAAGTCACAGGTTCGGTCACACCACCACGTCCAGCTAAGCACCAAGGCCGCTTCTCCGCTCGGGTCAAGACGTGCCGCGCCGCCCCGTGCCCGCCCGACGGTCCGACGCGCCTTCCGCCGCCACCGCCACTCACACCCCCGCCCGCCCGCTACTGCTAGCGTTGAGAGGGACGACCAGAGAGACGAATCGAGAGATAAGGGGTAAGTTTGTCTTTTTCACATGGCTTTTGTTAATTTTTAATTGTTTTGATCCGGATGTAGATAACTGAGTTAAGAATTGGGGTAAACAAAGCCTTCGCTTTTGAAAAGTAGGGTAAAACACAAAGTGAAAGAAAGTAGGGGTAAAATCACAATTGGGGTTTGAAATAGGGGCAAAAACGTAATATTCGGAAGGGCAAACTTGTCATCTGTCAACTTTTTTTAACACCGTTACCTGCTGTTCACGGAAGTAGGGGTAAACGGAGCCTTCATTTTAGAAAAGTCAGGGGTAAAAACAAAAAGTGAAAGAAAATATGGATAAAATTACAATTGGAGTTCAAAATAGGGACAAGAACGCAATAGCCCCATTGATTTTCACCAAAGTACATGGGGACGCCGAATGTGATTGCTAACTATCGTATAGATGACAAGGAGGTACTAGAAACGGCATGTTGCATTTGTATCCAGTTATTGCATTTTGTTAGATCAAATGTTATGGACATTTTTTAAAAAGGGTTCATGGACGTTGAGTTTGTTCGGACCTAACATACACTGTTCATTTTCCAAAGGTATGGGAAACATAGATACAACAGCCTGAATATTTCTCATCTTCTCACTTAAAAATCTCAGTTCTTATTATGGTGTAGTATAAGTTTGCATGTAAATAATGTTGGCCTTTCCTTCAGTGAACTATTTTGGATAGCTTAGCTAAATGCATCCCCTTCTGTTCCCAATTTTATAAGCCACCTGGTATTGATCATGTGCAGTTTATTAGGGCCTGTTTTTGGCACAGCTCACAACATCTTCATGAGCTGTTGTTTTTTTGACAAACACTCATTTTTAAAAACAGCTTTATTGATGAAGCTGTTTTTTTCCTCCTCTCATAACGATATGCAGCCTGTTCGGCTGGGACTTATACGATCGTATACGATCGTGGATTATAAGCTGAAATAATATTTTTTTCTCACACCAAACCAGCCAGCAGTACTTCTGGCTTATAATCCACGATCGTTTCAACCGAAACGAACAGGCTGATGAGTTGGGATGAAGCTGAAAAAAGTAGCTTATCCCAACTTCATCTCTTATATTATAGTCATTCTATTCATTATTCCATCATGTGAAGCTGTTTTGTCAAAAACTTATTCCAAAACAACTCAGCTTCAACAACAACAATAAAAAATTACTCATGAAGCTTTTTTTTTGCCAAACGGGAATATTCCCAAACGGAGCCTTACTCTCTCTACTACGCGAGCCGACATGCGAGCCAGCGCGCTCAAACCGAAGGTGCCAAAGATAGCCATGCCACCTCCGTCACTCTCCGCCACCCGTGTAACTGACCCGCGGCCACCGCCTTCGCGCTACGTCGTCGAGCTAACCATGGTCCGGTGTCGCACGCCCGCAGCTTCCCTGCCCAGTCGATAGAATAACTAAGCCGCGTCCCACCATGGCCCCCGCCCCCGCCCCCGCACTCGTCGGCATTCTGCTCGCCCTCGTTGCAATGGCTGCTGCCGTCCACGCCGTCCATCACGCGCCAGCCCCCTCGCCGGAGGAGTCCGAGTCCGAGTCAACGTCGCCGTCGGAGGCACCGGCCGAGGAACCCAATGCAGCACCCGCGGGGGCACCTGATGACGATGCCTGGGAGATGGAGACCCCGTGGCTGTCCCCCGACGAGGCCCCGGCGCCCTACGGCGACGAAAACGAAGGGCCCGCTGCTTCCCCGGAGGAAGTAGACGCGCCCGCCATGGCACCGGGCTTCGACGCTAACGGCCCTGCCGCCGCTTCGCCGGAGGAAGACGCGCCCACGATGGCGCCGGGCATTTCTCCCTTCGCGAGCGAGCCGCCGGAGGAAGAAGCGCCCACGATGGCGCCGGACATCTCTCCCTTCGCGAGCGAGCCGCCGGAGGAAGAAGTGCCCACGATGGCACCGGGCCTCTCTCTGAGCGAGTCGCCGGAGGAAGCCCCCGCGGGCGCCCCAGAAGAATTCGAGGGCGCACATATCGCCGCTCCCCCACTGGAGGACGCGCCCACCATGGCGCCGGCCTTCGCTCCCTTCGGGGCCAGCGAGTCGCCGGAGGAGTCTGAGGCCCCAGCCGGCGCCCCGGAGGAGGAGGCCGAGGCCGAGAGCCCGTCCTCCGAAGACTACGGCGTGTTAGAAGAGGAGGTCGTAGTACTCTCGCCTGACGGGTCGGCCGCGGTCAGCACCGGCCCGGAAACCGAGGAAAGCCCGGCCAAGGGGACCCCCGCGGCCGCGGAGGCTCCAGGCCCCTCATCCGACGGCGAGGACGACAGCGGCGCGAGCGCGGGCGCCACGCGTCGCAGCCTCGTGGCTGCCGTCATCGTCGCGGCCATGTCCGCCGTCGCTGCTTTCTGAGGTGCCGCTTGCGCGATCGATGAGGCACCCGGCGGTGGAGATCGGAGGACGGATGGCAGGGCATGCAGCCGTGCATCGTGCATGCTTGCGCACGGCGAGCGATGTAAACGATGCATGTCGTGGAGGGATCGCGATCAGTGGAATTCTTTCGGTGGTTCCTCCCAGTCGGATCATGTTTGCTAGGGTCGAGAAAAAAAATTATGAACATCAAGATATGTGCCCAGGCCCTATCCAGTAAGTTTCGTGGTCGGGCTAAAATCCAGCAGGCTCTGGTCGGGCCAGGCTTAATTTGCTTAATTCTATCTCTTTTCCTTTTCTCCTGGTGTCTGATGTGGACCTCAACCCTCTGAAAACCCATCATCAAGGAGATAACAAACAAACCGTAGTGTCATTCCATCACCCGATACTACCACGCAAACAAAAGCCACATCTCAGTTTTTGACCAAACATCCGACCTGAGGGTTTGTTTATTTGAGTTGTGTAGTTTTTTATCTTTTGGCTCAAGAGCTTGTTTTTTAGCTTTTAGATTGTGATTGTTGCTGTTTTAATAAATTTTTAGTTTTTCAGCACATTAAAAGCCAGAAAAGCTACCCTCAACGTGTTTTTCAGTTTTTATTGCATTTCCTCAGACGCCAGCTTTATAGTTTTTCAAAAGCCAACTCAACTGTTGGACCGTTTGTTTCGTGTCATGGTTTTTTAATAGCAAAAGCCAAATAAGTGTTGAAACAACTAGGTCCTAAGACTATGTTTTGCCTTCTCCTTAGGCAATATTTATTTAAGCTAAAACCTTTGGTCTTTTTGGTTAAAAAATCTGGCTTTTGCCTTTTTGCTATTAGCTTTTGTAATATACTTTTAGCTTCTTGGCACACCAAAAGCCAGAAAAAATCATCAAAACATGTGTTCAGCATCTAATATATTTCGTCAGAAACTAGCTTTTCAACTCTTTAAAAATCAATTTAATAGCTAGGATGTCTGTTTTAGGTTTTTAGGGCTTGTTTGGTTGGTGACAAAAACGCGCCATGCCAAAGGTTCCGGCTTTTAACCAAACAGCTTCCGGGCTTGTAACCATTAGAAGCCATATAAATAAAAGCTGAAATATACGGGCCCTTAGGTTGGGGTTGGCAGGTCGTTGTGTTCTCTTGGGCTAGAAGCCGACGCAAACGTGCAATCTCTTCTCTTCTGATCTACCGGGGTAGCTGGCATTGGCAGCTGCCGCCTACCGGCACCGTTGACCGTTCCACGTACACTATGGTTGTTCTTGGGCAAGTACATTGCTATACGTTAGCAGGCTCATAGTCCGTCTCATGCAGTGTCACGTAGAATTTTTGTTGACGTGGAAAAAAAAGAGGTGAGAGAGAAAGAGGTTGTTGTTTCGTGAAACAACCACCTCATGAGCTAAAATTTGACCATGAGACAACTTACACACTATTGTATAAGTAGTTGTTGTTATATAACTTACACACATTTTATTGTTGTATCCACAAATTAAGGACTCTAGAATTACTATGAGACAACTTAAAAAAGATTCTATTATACTTGTTACCTGTTAAGTCGTCTCAGACAGTACCAATACACATGCCCGCGGGATTCGCACCCTGACCCAAGGCAGCAAACCTGGTAGCTGCTGCTGCTGCATGGTTTTGGTGGTTGCCTTGCTTCCACATACATTGTTGGATTCACAAACCCGCCCTAGCAGGTGGCAGCCCACCTCCGGGGTCGCGGCAGGAGGCGCTGTCCGATGGGGAAATGCGGTGAACTCAGTCCTCACCGTGTGACGCCTCGAGGCCGGGCCGCTGCCAAAGTGGCAAGTGCCAATCCCTCAAGACCACAGCTGGTTTCGCCGGGCACACAAGCTATCTAGCAGCATCGGATTCGATCGGAGCTTTTTGGGCTTTAGCGCGGTTGCGGCTCAACTCACCCTCGCCGATCGCCAGGGATCCCGCGGAAAGTGACGCCGGCACGTGCACTTTGCACCGCCCAGGGGGCCTCAGCAGCCGGATTACATTGGTCGATGCACCCAGCGCACATAAGGGAACATGAGTTTCATATACTGTATATATATTATTATATATATATATATATATATGTACATATTCATCGATCGGCAGCTGACACCTGAAACGTTGTTGTTTGGTGCGAGAACACGGAACACGTTACATGTAATTCACGGCATTTCTGTTCCTGTGCTCCAACCCCATCCCCAACCGACGTTGGGTCCCGTGTCCGCGGCAGTTGACGGCCGTCGAGAAAGCCCGGAGTGGATCTAGAGACAGATATGACCTTTTGACCCTGGAAAACTCGGTGCAAACCCGATGGATGTCCCTAGGGCTAGGCGCTACATGCGTGTCCCTTCATGCTACGCCGCCACCTTAAACTAAATAAAAGAAGCTTCTTCAAAGGTAATAAAGCCTGGTTCCAATGAAAAGCGCAGTTTGCCTGCAGCTGCTGGAACTAAGATCTGGAGAATGATGTTTTTTTCCCCCTGAGGAACGGAGGAGGATGGCTAGCTATCAACGTACTGTTTGCCCACATTGCCCTTCATGTCCTCTGTCCCGGCCCGGGCCTGGGAACGAAGTCATTTTCGCCAGTGCGAGCCTATGGATTACATAGGCAGGCCGTGTACTACGCCCGTATAAACATTTCATGATCAATTGATGCGGGGATAAGTTCGTTCCCCAGCTACAGTAAGCACAGGGCGATTCTCCCTTCGCCGTTGAGCTGGCCGGGCCCTGCTCCTCCGGTGTCAGTCCGACGTCGCAGGAGAGGTGTGCCTGGCCCTCGACGGCGGCTACTGTGTAGATTAGTAAGTATTATAGTAGTATTTTAGCTTCCAGGGGTGTCCGATGGCATCTACTCCGGTGTCCATCGTTCTATCCTCCCTCCAGGCGATCTCGGACTCTCCTGTGAGGTACCTCTTCCACTTATCCGAGGAATCGGGTGGGTGTTGCTGCTGCCGCTTCAGCGGTTCTATCTCCTTTTGGGTTGTTTTCTCGTCGGATGGGTCGGAGATGCCTGCGTTGCCTGAGGCGTCAGACTCCATCAACATCGGCGATGCAAGGCCTTTTCGTTCAACGTTTGAAGTGCGTATCAGGTTTGATATGCGGTTTGTTGTGCCATTCAAAAACTACAAAGTGTCTTCGTCGAGAAGGGTGTCGGTTTCAAGCTGCAAGCTCGGCGAGTTCCTCTGCTTCTTCATGCAGCGGTGGTTCGATGCGTGGCTCATCCGGTTGCCGACGACGAAGAGGGCCGGGAGATCTTGCAAGGACTTGAATGTATTTTTTGTTTTTTCTCAGGGGTGTCGTTGCAAGGAAAACAATGTAATACTCTATCATATGTGAAATAAAACCCGGTTAAAAAATTTGATGCGGGGATAGCGTTATCATAGGACACAGGAGTAGGTAGGACACACGCAATTAGTAGGCGTGTGAATTTTGTTTCGCTCGCTGTGGGACCGCCGCTCACGGTTTATAACCAACCAGTCGCATGCTCGAAAAGGGTACCATAGCATGTAGTACTCCTACATGCACAGCACAGCTAGCTAGAGCCAAGAAGCGGACAAATTTAACTATGCATGCACTGGGTTCATCCGTTCGTGGGATGATTGTTGATGGTGCTGCACAGATCAGAAGCGCATTGCTTCTCCACCAAAAATCAAGACGAAAGAGGAAAATATGGTAGGACTGGGACAAGAAAAGACTGTTCACTTCAGAGGATCAATAACCTGGTGCAAAGAAAAAAAAACCCGGAGCAGCAGGGGGCAGTGGCATCACGCTACACACCGAGCTAAGTGCACGCCACTGTCCATCCTGCTCCCACTCCCCTCACTCCCACGCGTACGCACAGGCGCACAGCACCGCGCCCAGCCGGCCGCACTCCGCACCACGCTCTCGCCCCGCACAATGCGCCGCCTCCGCCGCGCCGCCGCGCTCCCCCTCCTCCTCCTTGCCCTCGCAGCCACCACCACCACAACGCCAGCGGCGGCGGCCGTGGCGAAGGCTCCCGCGGCAGCGGCGCCGCCGGCGCCTCCGAACGTGACGGCTGAGATGGCCAATGGCGGGTGCAAGGCGTTCGCGGACCTGATCGCGGCGTCCCCGGACGCGTCGTCGACGTACCAGTCGGCCGTGGAGGGCGGCATGACGGTGTTCTGCCCCTCCGACGACGCCGTGCGGGCGTTCCTGCCCAAGTACAGGAACCTCAGCGCGGACGGCAAGGCGGAGCTGCTGCTGTTCCACGCCGTGCCCGTGCACTACTCGCTGGGGAGCCTCAAGTCCAACAACGGGCCCATGAACACGCTGGCCACCGACGGCGCCGCCCGGAACTTCAACTTCACGGTGCAGAACCAGGGCGACGTCGTCACCATCAGGACGGCCGCCGGCGGCGGCGCGCCGCCCGCGCGGGTCAGGTCCACGGCGGTCGACAAGGACCCGCTCGCCATCTACGTCATCAGCGCCGTGGTGGAGCCCGTGGAGCTCTTCAAGCCCGCGCCGGCGCCGACGCCGGCCCCCGCGCCCGCGCACGCTGCCGCGGACGCGCCCACCAAGGCCGGCAAGGCCGCCGCGCGCCAGCGCCACGCGCCGCCCGCGGTGGCTGACGCGCCCGGCCCCGCCGCGGAAGACAACGCGGCCCCTGTGGACCAGAAGGACGCCAAGAAGAGCGCGGCTGCCGGCGCGCCGTGCGCCCGGTGGCGGCTCGCCGCCGCGCTGGCGGCAGCCGTGGCCTCAGCATTGGCTTAGCTATCGATGGACGAAGGGCTTTCTTTTTGCGTTTTTTTTTTCCGGTGATGATCCATTGGCGACTTGGCATATGATCGTGGTTGTGATGGCGTGCTTGCGAGGTTTGTGTTTTTTTTCTCGATCGGGAGAAAATAGTGTATGCGTGCTTACATATTCGTGCTTCGGTTTAGATGTTTCTTCTTGGTTTTTTTAGTTCTACCGGTTACCACTAGAGTGAGGTTCAGTGCGTGTTTATCAGGAGGTGTTTGTATTTTTGGTTTTGACGGA